CTCTGGGGTTGTAGGGGTTTAGGGTTTAGGATTTAGGGTTTAGGGTTTGGGGTTTAGGGTTTAGGGTTTAGTGCATTGCAGTCCCTGCTCGACAGGTTATAAGGGTATAGGGTAGCATAGGGTAACTCTCGGCCTTGGCCACCCCGGTAGTACCTGTTTACATCTATCATGATGCATGCGGCTTCCTTATTCTTAAAGTAATACAAATACGAGACGGAACAAAAGGCTCTCCTGATTGTTGGGTGGCTTTGAAGATCCTGAGCCCTGGACCGGGCTTTAGGGTTCAGGGTGTAGGGCATGAATAGGAGGTTACGGCCTGTGCAGGGGTTATGGATTCGAAGCCATCGAACTGAAGGCATGTTCAGGTTCAGAGTGCTTGAGGGTTCTAAAGTTCCCAGAGACTCCAAGATTCCTTAATTAAGGAATATTCCTTAAATTATAGTAGGATCCTTAATATGATTTAGGGTATATTCCTTAATTAAAAAGGATTTTGGAGTCTCTGGGTTGCTCCGTACCGGTTTATTTGAGTTTCGCGCTCCTCGAGGGAGTGTTTGATTCACCAGGCAGCGGTCATAAATTTGGGCGGGTTGGGCGGCAGTGTGGATCTACGAGCTGTAGGCACTGTAGGCGTGCACGACAGAACAGGTCTCGGGTGGTGTGCGTGGAGCAGCATTCTAAACCCCACAAACCAGTTCTACTCATTCGACTTTCGGGCGTCTCGGCAGATCATTAGCTTAAGGTTTCGTAGTGTATGTCAAGGATGCACGGCCCAAGGAAGGTTGCTAGTCCTGTGTTGCCTCGCAAGTTCAGGATCCGGCATCCTAGCTGATCTCGCATAGGATCTTCGGCTGCGATGTTAAGGCTCCTTGTGATGATTTCCTTATTATTTTCCCTAAACCTTAAACCCTAAACCCTAAGAAAGGAAGGTAGGTTGTTCGGGTTTGTTTTCCCTAAACCCTAAACCCTAAGAAAAGAAGGTAGGTTGTTCAGGTTTGTTTGGGGCTGAAGGTAGACCACGTGGGTGGTTGTCAAAATTAGGGTCCCTTTTTGGGTACCCTAAATAGTAGGTGCCGTATTATATTACGGACCCAAAGAGGGACCCTATTTTAGAAAACTACCCCACGTATTACCAGGACCTCTCCCTTGGTGTGGCGGTGGGATCTTCTACCCAGCCCGGGCCGCCAAGGGGTCTAAGGGCTCATAGGTTTCCTTTGAGAGTTACTATAATGGCTTCGGGTTTAGGGTTTAGGGTTTAGGGTTTAGGGTTTAGGGTTTAGGGTTTAGGGTTTAGGGCGGGGGGGGGGGGGGGGGGAAGCTCCTNNGGGGGGGGGGGGTACGGTTACGGTTTGGGATTTAGGGGGGTTCAGGGCTACAGGGCTTATGGGGCTTTAAGATTAAGCCCTAACCTGAGTGTGGCCCTTTTAGCTGGCGCCACCAGCCTGGGTTCAATAGAGGGCTTAGGGTTTAGCCTCCTCCGCCTTCGAAAAGATCTTTCTCACCCAAAACTGTTGAAGCGCAAGCCTTTGCAATCTGCTGAAACTTCGAGTTCCTGCTTGCTGTATTGTCTTACTCCATACACCAGGTCAGTTACGAGGTAAAGTTGAATCCCACTTGTGCATCCAACCAGGAAGCTTTAAGCAGC